TGTGTGTGTGTGTGTGTGTATGGTGTTGCTGATTTCTTTGTTTCATACAATTTTCTGTGTTGAGTTCATTTTGTTTATGACTTTTTTAGATAATTTCTTTCATTGCTATTGTTTTAGTATTTGCTGAATATCTGTGCCTTTCCTCTTTTTTATTTTGATGACAAGGTTTATTAATTTTCTTTGAGGTTATCCTGTAATTTATCATTTTTTTCCCAAGTTCAAAACATTCCATTCTATTTCAAAATCATCTTGACTTCCTCTCCATTTGGAAGTTCTGTACTACTCTCTTTATTCCCTCTTTTTGCTTTGTAGTTGTTGTCATTTGATGTCTCTGGTTCCCTGTTTATGGACTTGCAAGTTTATTTTATTTTGGCTACTCCTATATCTGGGTTGGTTTCTGGGTTATATTGTCATGTGTGTTAATCATTGATTGTTGTCTACTGTTGTTGGCTCTCTGTCAGAGGACTGTCTTTAGCATCCCTTGAAAGGTTGGTCTGGTTATTACAAATTCTCTTAATTTCTCTTTATCTGGAAATGTCCTAATTTTGCCACTGAATTTAAGGGACAATTTTGCTGAGTATATAATTCTTGGTAATTTTTTCTTTCAGAGTTTTATACATGCCATTCCATTGCATTCTCACCTGCATGGTTTCTGTTGAGAAATCAGAGCTTCATTTTATTGATTACCCTTTGTAAATAACTTTTCCTTTTTCTTGTGCTGCTTTCAGGATTCTTTCTTTGTCTTTGGTTTTGGAAAGTTTGATTATAATATCTATTGATGATTTTCTTTTTGGGTCTATCCTGCTTGTCGTTCATTGAACTTCTCTTCTTTCATATTAGTGAAGTTCTCTTCCAACAAATCTTTGACACCTTTCTCTATGGTTTTATTTCTCTTCTCCTGGTCTGGAATTGTGAGCTCATGTAATTTGTTCATCTTGATGGTGTCCCATAAATATTAGGCTTTCTTCATTTTTTCTCTGTTCATTTTTCTGATTGTTCCTTTAACAAAGTAATGTTGAGAGATTTGACTTCAATCTCACTAATTCTGTCTTCCGTGTATTGGATTCTACTCCTTTGCCCTTTCAATGTGGTATCTATTTCTGAAATCTTCGTATTAATCTTCTGGATTTCTATTTGTTGTTTTGCATCATTTCTAATTTTTCATTTCTTTTGCTAGTTTATTCTTGTATTGTTTTCCTAAAATTGTTCTGGAATTTTTTCTGTGTTTTCCCTGATTTTGTCAGTGTTTTCCTTGATGTGTTTCCCAATTCATTGATGGTATCCAAATATAATTCTATTGAATTCCTTATTAGGTCATTCCAATGACACTTCTTCCTCAGGGAGGTTTTCTGGTCTGTATTCTGGACCCTCATCTGTACTATTTATCTTGCTTCTTTGTGTGAACTGGGATTGTCAGTTGTCTCCAAGACATTGTGGTGTAATTGTGTTTATATTTAGTTGATGATTGTATGTTGGTGTGATTCACTCAGGTAGTTTTTTACTTTTTTCCTCTTCATTTTGTTTTGATATATCCAAGCAAGTAGGCCTGGTGTGCTATTCTAGTCACCAGTTTGGCAGCACTTAGGCACTCACCACCTGTCCTGGTAGGTGTGATAGAGGATCAGAATATGGGCCCATATCTCTATTAGATGTTTGTGTAAAGCAGTTTAGGGCATTTGAGGTGGTATTGGCCAATGTATATCATTGATAAGTTGGTCCATAAGAAGGTGGGGGCTCTTTCTTAGTGGATGGGGCTACATGAGGTACAGATGTGGTTGCATTATATGGGCATGGTTGCTGTCTTCCACCAGGTTGGACAAAAACCAACAACCAAACAAACAAAAACAGCAACAACAATAAAAAAATAAAAAAATAAAAATAAAAGAACAGCACAAACAAATAACAACAAATGCAAAAAGAAAAAAGAAAAAAGAAGGACAAAGAGAAAAAGAACACTAGTTTGTGAGAAGGGAAAATGGAAAGAGAATAAGAGAAAAAGAATAGCAAAGAAAAAGGGGAACAAAGGGTATATTACACCTTTTTGGTCATCAGTCACCTGTGTGTTTGCCCATTCAGTCTTTGGGAAGCAGAGCCAATTATCAGGTTGCTGCCCAGATCAGAATGCCACTTGCAAATATTCAAAATGGCTGCTCCATCAGACCAGTCAACAGTCTACAGATCCATTTTTCTCTTTATTCATTCATTTCTTCTACTAACCAAAAACCAAACCCACTGCCATAGAGTCAATTCTGACTCATAGTGATGCCCACTGGGTTTCTGAGGCAGTAAATCTTTACATAAGTAGATCACCCCATCTTCCTTCTGAGGAGTGGCTGGTGGGTTTGAACCACCAACTTTCTAGCAGCCAAATGTCTTAGGTACTGCACCACCAGAGCTCCTTACTAGTTGGTAGTTAATCCACTTCTTTATCCGTCCCCTTGAAGCTTAAGGTTCTAGGATTTTATTCCATATCTGTTTCAATTGGTTTTTTATTTCTTCACTGTAGAGGGTCTGTTAGCTTGTCTGCCTATTCCACCATCCTGCTGGAAGTCCAGAATTGATGCATTTGAATTGTGGTGTTGGTGAAGAAGAGTGAATGTACCATGGACTGGTAGAAGAACAAACAAATGTGTCTTGGAGGAAGTACAGCAGCAATGCTCCTTAGAAGTGAAAAAGGTGAGACTTCTCTTGTACTTTTGGATATATTATCAGGAGCGACTAGTTCCTGGAGAAGGACATCACACTTGGTAAAGTAGAGGATCAGAAAAGAGGAAGACCTTCAATGAGATGGATTGACACAGTGGCTGCAACAATAGATTCAAGCATAGCAACAACTGTGAAGATGGTATAGGATGAGGCAGTGTTTCATTCTGTTGTACATGGGGTCACTATTAGTCAAAACTGACTTGATTGCACCTAACAACAACATTCTAAGTTGCTGTTGTTATTTACCTTTGAGATGGCTCCAATTCATAGAGACATGTGTAACAGAATAAAATATTGCCTGGTCCAACACCATCCTCACACTCATTTGTATATTTGAAGCCATTATTGTGGATATTGTGTCAATCCATCTCATTGAGAATTTTCCACATTTTCACTGACTCTCTACTTTACCAAACATGATATCCTTTTCTAGCAACTGGCCTATTGATGTGTTCAAAGCAAACAAGATGAAGTCTCACATTACTCAGAAATAAGAAGCATTCTAATTGTATTTCTTCTAAGACTGATTTGCTCATTCTTCTAGCAGTCTGTGGTATATATGTTCAATATTCTTCACCAACACGACAATTTGAATGTGTCTAGTATGTCACTATTCTCTGTCTTTTCACTATCCAGATTTCACATGCATTTGAAGCAATTGAAAATATCGTGGCTTGGGTGAGGTGCACCTTAGTCATCAAAGTGACATTTTTGCTTTTTAAAACATTAAAGAGGTCTTTTGCAGCAAATTTATAGTAGGTAAAAGGCCAGCGTATCCAAAGTTGCATGGACTCTAGGACAGAAACAAGGATATAGCTTGCAGTTAGCCTTTCCTCTAGGTTGGGAGGAAAGCTGGGGTGCCTTCGGTGTGGCATGCCTGATTCCCAGCCTCTATATCATTCCTTTCTCCATTGCTGGAATCAGTGCTCCCAGTCAAGTAAAGCTTAAGGTCCTGATGGCCAGTATTCATGCTTCTGAATTCTTCATTGGTGACAATCCTTCCCTTGACATGGAATGACTTCCTATTTGCCTAGGACAATAATCTGTCACCATCTACTTTGGACACTATGTCCTATTCACCAGATAATATGATGCCCACCACTGTCCACTAGACAACAGGGTGAGACTAGTTGAGGCCCTCATCCCATTTAGGCTGTGCCACCCACTCTCTTTGGCCAGCAGATATGACATCTTATGGGGTCCATCCCATTTGCTTCCCCAGGCTGTAGAAGTACATCAGTGACAAGGTCACGGTAGACTCAGTGATGAGGTATCTCGTGCCTAGAACTCTCTTCTAGGTGAATCTCTGGTTTTTGCTACCAAAAGAGTTGGCACAGCTTGGTTTGAGATACAAGTCATATAAGAAAAACAAATTGTGTGATAATGAAACAAACACAGAAAATGAGTTGAATTGCCAGAACAGCCAAGGTATAGGAAGGCTTTAGCTCCCTCCTTCCAGTTTATACCCCAGTGGTTTCTGAGATCCTTCCACAAGGTGTCTCAAAGTTCACACAAATAAGCCTGTCAGCTGCAGGTACAATGTGGCACCCATTCCCTTCTTTCTCTCCTGCTGTGGCCCCATTGTCTTCATTGCTGCCTACAAAGTTGCCCACGTAAGCAGCAGTTAAGAAATCAAACGACGTATTGCATTGGGCAAATCCGTGTCACCTCTGCCTCAGAAGGCAGCTCAGTCTGACACAGCAAAATCTCGATTTACAGGAGTGCTGAGGTTTCTGAATAATTTAGATTCCTAATTACAACAATTCCTTTAGGTTTCAACGGTAGTTGAATAATCTTTCTAAAATGCAGGAGTTCACTTTCTTGTCTTAGTTAATCCATTTCTAAAGTAACTTTCTTTCTTTCTTTTTTTTTTTTTTCCTCCTCTCTCTGAGGTGATATTTCAGTGTTTGAAAGCAATTCTTTATAATATAGTGATGTACAGAAGCAGAATCTACTAACAGGACCAGGTTTGGTTTTAGTTTGGTATAGAAGTTAAGTGTAGAAAATTTCCCAGTTACAAAAAAAACCCAACAAACAAAATACCTAATTCATGCCTTTTTTGGGATTAACTTTAGAGAACTATGTCTGCTTAATTTTGAGTTTGAAGGACACAAGATTTCACTTGGCCACTGTTTAAGCAAGTTTCTCAGCAGTGATGGTGATTATGGATTATAACGCTTCCACTCCCATCAACATCATATTGTAAATTTTATAGGTAACTCGATATAGGAAATTAGAGCTACCAGGCTTCTGAGTGGGCAAAAAAATCCTTGTATCTTCACCCAAATCACAATTAAAAAAAAAAAAAATCCTTGTAGACAGTGATAAAACCATAATAAAAATTTTGTTTTAAAGACAGTATAACCATACGGAGGAGCTCTGGTGGCGTAGTGCCTAAGGCACTTGACTGCTAACTGGAAGGCTGGTGGTTCAAACCTACTAGCCACTCTTCAGAAGGAAGGTTGGGCAATCTACTTCCATAAGGATACCGCCTCAGAAACCCAAGAATGGGTTGCTATGCGTCGGATCCGACTAATATACTGTACTTGTAAGGTTATTCAAAACATTGTGAATTCCCATCTCCTCTCTGGTTATTGGGTTTAGCTGGGGAGAGGACCCCTGTTGACTTTCCTATACTAGCTCTACAGTCTTCTGAAGAGTGATGGTGGCCACAGATAGACTGCAAGTTATTTGTTGTGGTATTTGGCTGTAGCAGAGAGGTTACTGTCTTGAAGTTTTTGGTCTTGCTAAGTTGCCCCATTCTTGGTTCTTTTACTGGAAAGAATAATCTTGTATTGGGGCTTTTTTTTTCCCGTCTCTGTCTGTTGGACTTTCAGAGTTGCAGGCTTCTCCCGTACTCATTCTGGGATGTATGAGGCAAAAAAAAAAAAAAAAGAGAAGAAAAACAAACTCAAGGAACCACGATGTTGTTCCTTGAGTTTTGAGGCCCCTCGCCAGTTGCTTTCTTCTACCTTCCAGACTCTTATTATCTTTTATGTATAATGTCTAAAGCTTTCAATTGTACTCACTCTTTCTGGAAGTGAAGTTTATTTTCGCAGAAGATTTCTACAAAGGATGATTTCCCTTGATGCCTAGATAGCCTACATATTTTATTTTCTGTATTTCTATCTCAGAGAGCAATTTGGGTGGCATTTGTTTGCATTACCAGCAGGGCACTCAGAAAGTAGGGGTTTGGAGCTCCCCATGGGCTTTCTGCTGACCCTCTTTGATCTAACATGTGTCATTTAAACATCTTTCTGTTTTAATGCAAAGCTCACTTGGGGAGTGTTTACCGCAGTGTGAAGATGGAAATCCCAGGGTTCATGAGGCTGTACCTGTGTTCCCTTAGGCCACCCTGCCCCTGCATTCAGAGAAAAATGGTCTTAAGTTTTTATCCGGCTTACATCGTCGTCCAAGTCTGCAGCTTCCAGTGCTTCACAAGGCTCATTCATGAAACCTTCCAAAAAGTTCGTTTCAGAAACAGACTCCAGGACTTTGATTTTTGGAAGGCACATCAAAATGAAAGATATTTGGAAAGAGAAACAAGAAAAAAAGGGAATGGATTTATGATATTTATCTTTGCTCTTTTTAATCAAAATGTATACATCATCAATAAGACTTTCAAATAAGTTCACAAATTACCTCAAACATAACTTTAAAATAGGACTGTTGATGCAAGGTGCCTTCAAATCGAACTCTGACTCACGGCGACTCCATGCATTACAGAGTAGAACTGACCTCCATAGGTTTTTCTTGGCTGCAATCTTCACAAAAGCAGATCGCCAGGCCTTGCTACTGCTGAGCCACTGGGTAGGCTCAAACCACTAACCTTTCAGTTAGCAGCCAATTGCAAACTGCTTCCACCACCTAGGTTCCCAAAATAGGACTGGAAGGCTCAATTTCAGTGAGCAACTTAAGAGAGGGAGAGTGTGTTCCTGGTGGCTGGTGAAGGTCTGTGTGACAAAGTGGCATTTGAGTGCATCCTGAATGAAGTAAGGGAGTGAGCAGGCAGATAGCTGGGGAAGGGCATTCCTGGCAGAGGGACTCAGAGGTGCAGAGGTCCTGAGTTTGGAATGTATTTGTTTTGCTTGACAAACTGTAACAGGCATAATGGGACCAGTATGGCTGAAGACCAGTGAGTGTGAAGAAGGGCGGCAGGAGGGGAGGTCAGGAAGGAGACCAGAAGCCAGCGCACAAAGGCTCTAGTATTTTAATTCTGAGGGAGATTTATTCTGAGTGTTATTTTTTTCTTGGAAATGCAGAGAAATATTCCTATCTCTCACCAGTTTTGTAAAAAACTGGCAGTTTCTAGAATTATGGATTGCTCATAAATGCTAATCTAAGCATAAGAGAGGAAGCCTGAAGCAACTGAGCTAAAGAACTTGTGCCTGAAAGAGTAAATGCCTTTGTTCCTCAGGGTCAGTCACAGCCTCCTGACTCTCCAGGGCCAGGGGAGGGGCTTAAGTCTCCAGTGGTGATGGGGTGCAAATTGAATCCTGGAATTGATAATTACAACCTGGGCTTTGCTTCCTTAGGGTTGGAAAGGTGTGGATCTAGAGGCACTGAGCTGGGAGCAAGTGGTTCTCACAAGATAATTGGGCCTTCAGGGAAATTACAGAGGGAGCTCTGGCGGTATAGTGCCTAAGGCATTTGACTTCTAACCAGGAGGCTGGCGGTTCAAACCCACCAGCCGCTCCTGGGAAGGAAGATGGGGCAATCCACTTCCATAAAGATTTACTGCCTTAGGAACCCAATGGGGGTTGCTAAGAGTTGAAATCAACTTGATGGCAGTGAGGGTTTTTCGCTTTGTATATGTACTTAAATCCCTTATAATATGTAGTGAAGTGAATTAGCTCAAAGAGGGTGGCCTAGAGGTAATAGGTAAAAGACTAGATAATCAAAAGGCTCTTTAAAAAGAGAGGACAGTGGTTACAAAGGACATAAGTATATGAACTTTACAAATTAAGTTATAATTTCCTCCTGATTATTAAGAAATATCATTGTGGAAAATCTGGAAAATAAAGAAAGGTATAGAGAACAAGGAAGAAAAACAATCAATACTCACCCAAAAGTTTGCACTATATGTAAAGTGCATTTTTTTCTCTATATAATTAAAGTCACACTCTTTGGGCAATCTACTTCCATAGTGATACTGCCTCGGCAACCCAAGGAGGGGTCTCTATGAGTCGGGTCTGACTCCACGGCACATAACAACAACAACATATATCTGATTTGTATCCTGCTTTTCCTTTTTATCTTATCTAAGGTAATTTTTTTTTTTTTAAATTTCATTTCACTTTATGTTTGAATTTGATGGCTGTGTAGAATGGCCTCAGAAACCCAATGGGGATTGCTATGAGCACTCCACTCCATAGTAACACTCCACAACCCACTCAATGGCAGTGTTTTTTTTTTTTTAATTATTATTTTAATGTCTTTAGGAGTTTCTGGGTGGTACAGTTTACCACTCAGCTCCTACCTGAAAGGTTGGCAGGGGAAGTCCACCCAGAGGGACTTCAGAAGAAAGACCTGGTGATCTGCTTCTGAAAACTCAGCCACTGAAAACCTCGTGGAGCCCAGGGTTGCCGTGAGTTGGGTTGGCTCTATGGTAACTGATTTTTTTTTGGTCTGGTTTTTATTTTGCCTTTAGGTGAGGAAAGGAGATATTCCTGTGATCTTAATACACATTAGCTAATTTTCTAGTTCTTCCCAATTTTGGATCCATGGTAAAAACTCTGACTACTTTGGGTTCCTGAAGGAACAGAGAATAGCACTAAGATGGATCTGCCTTTATTGACACCAGACCCAGGAACCATTCTGCCTGGGGTTCTCCTCTGCCCATCTTATTCTGTCCCCAGTAGAAACTTTGCATATCTGAGTTGGGCTGTGAGCGTGAATTCTCCGAGCAGTGTTTTACACCAGTTTGCCCAGGTGCACACTCATTCTCACCAGTATACTAACAATGTGGCAAAAGAAAGGGTACTTAAGCTTGTGTCCAATGACCCTCTACTCTCCCAAAGTGTCTCTGTGGAAATGATTGAGAGAAGTGTTGAAAAGCAGTTCAGGAAAAGCCAAAAAGAGTCTATGGGAATTCAAGCCAGCATTCAGGAAGCTCCTTTTGGGTGGCACCGGGGAGGAGAAATGCCCTCTTTCTAGGGGTCTGGAGAGACCAAGGACAGAGCCTCAATGAAAAGGTAGCCTCAAGTCAGGCTACCTTCCATGTTCCTGCCCTAGGTTGAGAATGAGAGCCTGTGGCCCTGATAGCTCAGGAAATGCCCATCATTTGTGATTGCTGTATTTTAATAGGCTTTATTGAATAATACACATTCATCTTGGAAAAGAAAAAGGCGGGTGTTTATCAAGGGAAGAAAGTAAACTTGGCAGCTGTGAACACTGAATGGCAGTCTTAGAAGCAGTCAACTCAACGTAATAATTAACCTTATTAACATCAGTCGGCCCTGTCTGTGTGACAAGCCCAGAACAATAAATAAGCAACAGCACAGTTGTACAGGCTGAATCCAGAAGTAAAAGCTTTATTTCTAATTAACTTTCCCTTTGGGGATTTCTGTCAACCTCTGCTTCTGTTCAAGTGGGATAATTATCTACTCTTGAGGTCCCTGGGAAGGAGGTTGGGGGTACGTTGTGAGAAAGCAGGGGGAGTATCAGGCCAGGATTGAGTAGTGGCCCTGTCATCCAGGGTTGAGTGACTTGCAGCAGGTTACTGAGCCCCTTGGTGCCCTTGCTCCCTCATCTACGTAATGGGAACAATAGACTCATCATGATGGTGCTTAGAACATCTGTGCTAATGCAGGTAAGTATCCAATGGCCCTGTGTTTTGTCAGTGGCACACGTCCCCCCTGGTCTAATTAAGGACACAACTTTATTCTTCCTCATCCAAATGCCTGTCCTCCAATGTATTACTCCACGCACCAGCAGTTCCTGAAGTTGGGAGATGTGTAAGCTGTGCGTATTTGCCAGGTTGGGAGATAGGATAATTCCCAAGGTATAGATGAGGAAAGGGAAGGTGGTATAGATGAGGAAGCCCACAGGCTGATGGCCTGGCCCCACTGAGCACAAAGACAAAACTCTTGTTTTCACTCTGTCAGCCCTTCCACAGGGTGATTATCCTTGGCAGGGGGATCTGGGGAATGGGTAGGTCTGGTGGTTGCTATGGGCACCAATCTATACACTGTTCTAAAACCTTGCTGCGCAAAGTGTGGTCCTTGGATCAAGAGCACTAGCAGCTGCTAGGGGCTCCTTAGAAATTCACAACTCAGAACTGCTGACTCAGAATCTGCATTTTAATGAGAGCTCCAGGTGATTGCTGGGGATTAAATTGAAGTTGGAGTAGTTGTCAATTCCCTTTGAGTCTGTTCCGACTCAAGGTCACCCTATGTGTTACAAAGTAGAATGCTCATTAGGGGTTTCTTGGCTGTAATCTTAACAGAAGCAAATCACCAGGCTGGTTTTTCATACTGCTGCTGGGTGAGTTTGAACCATCAACCTTTAGGTTAGCAGTTGAGTGCAAACCGTTTGTTCCACCCAGGGACCTAAAAGTTGAGTAGCACAAATTGGGGATGGATTATCTAATAAGTAAGGTAAGCACGAGCTTACTTGTGCTTACTCATTAATCTGTTAGTGAACAATTTCACATTTCACCACTCCAGAGATTCTGCTCTAGGTATGGCTGGCATCTTTCTCTTCCCCAGTCCCACAGCACCTTCCTACAGAATCAAAGCCTCTTTGCAAATTTACAATCACTGACGGGGTCTGAATATCCAGTAAGCAAGGTAAGCATGAGCTAACTCGTGCTTATTTACTAATCTGTAATGAACAGTTGTGGTGAAAAACAGGGGAAACTGTTCAGATTAGTAAGTAAGCACAAGTAAGACCGTGTTTACCTTCTTATTGGGTAATCTGCCCCTGGCAGCACTACTGTAAAACATCCCTGGAATGGAATAAATTGGGCAAAATTGTACTTACTAATGCCCTTCTGAGGAGCTCCGATGGCAAAATGGTTAAGTGCTCAGCTGCTAACTGAAAGGTCACTGGTTCAAACCCACCAGCCACTCTGCAGCAGAAAGACCTGGTGATCACCTCCTGTAAAGACTAACCTAAGAAACCCTATGCGGCAGTTCCACTCTGCCATATGGGTCTCTATGAGTCAGACAGAACACAACAACAGTGCCCTTCTGGGGGAAAGGTGTGCTTTTGAGTTAGGAAGATTTGCTTGATAAGCACTGGGGGGAGTCATGCGAGAGGACAAGGGTAAGAGAGCAGGATGGGATGTGTGAAATGTGTGAGACCTGATTCTCATTAACTACTCCACCAGCTTAAGTAACAACAGATCTTTGTCCCTGAACTTCAGTCTGATGAGGATAGGTCTACTTCAGTACAGGGCTTTTGCTTAGTGGATGATGTGTGCAGATTGGCACTCTGCTTCCATAAGGATTTTCCTCTGTCCTTCCCTTGCAGAGGATTCAACTAACTAGC